CTAATTTTGAATTATACTCTTCCATCTATCAACCTGTATCTCTCCAATAACAAAACAATCTTATATCTACCGCCATTAGTGGATGCACCGTTAACACCTGTTGACTACAGCCAAAATAACGTTTGGAAATATATATTGGAAATGCAGTTATTTCCCCCCAGATGAACTAGTGATTCAGAAAAATTCTAGATTGTGCAGAAATGGATAAATTGACATTAAGATTAAAGGACAAAGAAGAGTCTATGAAATTTGGGATAATTGGTATAAATGGTTGCATAACAGAAATAAAATTACTTTAGCCAAGGAGCAATAGAGGAACCAGTTCAACCTCGAGCCATAAATACCCTCCTCCATCAATACAGTATGCGGAATATTTATCGTAAGGCGGAATTTGCAGTACTCACAGAAGTCACTTGGTGGATTATGCGTGAGGTTTCTGTAGAATTCAGTTCGGTGAGCTTTCTTTAAACCTGTGCATAGCCCAAAATCAGAGAGTTTTACATGGCCCTACAGAAAGAAAATCATATTCATATTCAATTCACATTCATATGCTCATATGATTAATCCAGATGACTGATGCAAACTTCTGAATTACTTCTGGAGCTATTCCCTGATTTACATCTAATCATCAAATAGCAGATTGTACCCAAGCAGAAAACTGCAATTTCATCGGGCCTGAGAAAGCGACACGCAAATGGATTTAAAGCAATTTTTTTTTATTATTATGTTATTTGTAAAATTTATTGGCCACCCATCCTAACACAGTAACTCTGGGCAGCTTCCAATATTTAAAAAAAAACCTGCATAAAATGTAATTTTATACATACATATATATGTACAGTATGTATGAATGAATGAATGAGTGTATGTGCGTGCATATATATGTGTGTGTGTGTGTACATATAAACACACATGCATACACACAAACACATTCATACATACATAGACGTTTTATACAGTTTTATATTTTTTGTGTAGTTTTTTACATTTTTTGTTACATTCTCTCTTATACATAATCCATTTTACATCGCATTTATCATTTCTAACTTCGGCCTCATATTTTCTTACCCTATTTCCATCTTAAGTTTGCATTTTTCTTAACAAATAAACAAAATCATTTTTTCCCCTTTTAGAAAAAGGCATATCAACTTTATCATTTCATTTTCCATTTGTTATTTCCAGTTCCTATATGTAACGTAAATCCTCAAATCCATTTCAATATAACAAGCATTTTACTTAATTGGTTATCCACACTTAACAATATTATCTTATTTAGCTATATATCATCAACAGTATTAACATATTTCATTTTCTACCAATATCTCTCTTTTTTCGCCACGATGTAGAAAAGATGTGGAGACTCTAGAAAGAGTGCAGAGAAGAGCAACAAAGATGATTAGGGGACTGGAGGCTAAAACATATGAGGAACAGTTGCAGGAACTGGGTATGTCTTTTTTTAATGAAAAGAAGGACAAGGGGAGACACGATAGTATCTTCCAGTATCTCAGGGGTTGCCACAAAGAAGAGGGAGTCAACCTATTCTCCAAGGTGCCTGAGGGTAGAACAAGAAGCAATGGGTGGAAACTAATCAAGGAGAGAAGCAATCTAGAAATAAGGAGAAATTTCCTGAC